ATCTGGAGTTGGGTTTCTCCCGGCGCTGAACCTGCCGGCGCTCGCTCCGGTGGATTGGACGCAGCTCCTCCCGGAGCCCCCCTTTTAATGGCTCGGCTTTGAGAATTTCCTCCCAAATTACAGCGCCGGCTTCCTGTTTTTAGAGCTCCCCCGAGCCCTCGGCCCGCGGGGAAGGGCTGGGGGGCCGTCCCTGGAGCGGGGCTGGAGCGCTGCAGCCTGGGGGGTGCGACCCTCCGGGGCTGGGCCCTTCTGCTCTGCCCGCTTTTAGCAGCTCCCTCCTCCCCAGGGCCGAGGGCTGAGCACACAGGGGGTGCAAGGGGAGGATCCTCTGCTCGCTGGGGAGCTGGGGGGTGGACAGGCAGGAGGGGGTGGACAGGGATGGATGGATGGATGGATGGATGGAGAAGGATGGACAGGGAAGGATGGACGGGGTTGGATGGACTAGGATGCACAGAGGTGGATGGGAAAGGATGGACAAGGGTGGATGGACAGGGGTGGATAAGGGTGGATGAATAAGGCTGGATGGACAAGGGTGGATGGACAAAGATGGATAAGGGTGGATGGAAAAGGGTAGATGGACAGGGGTGGATAAGGGTGGATGGACAAGGGTGGATAAAGGTGGATGGACAAGGGTGGATGGACAAGGGTGGATAAGGGTGGATGGACAGGGATGGACAAGGGTGGATAAGGGTGGATGGACAGGGATGGATAAGGGTGGATGGAAAAGCGTGGATGGACAGGGATGGATAAGGCTGGATGGACAAAGATGGATAAGGGTGGATGGACAGGGATGGATAAGGGTGGATGGAAAAGGGTAGATGGGCAGGGAAGGATGGGCAGGGGTGGATAAGGGTGGATGGACAGGGATGGATAAGGGTGGATGGACAAGGGTGGATGGACAGGGATGGACAAGGGAGGACGAGCAGGGAAGGATGAACAGGGTTGGACTGACAAGGCTGGGTGGTGACAGTGGTGGTGGTGGAACTGGTGGTGGCATTGATGGTGGCAGTGGTGGTGGTGGCACTGGTGGTGGCAGTGCTGGTGGTGGCACTGGTGGTGGCATTGATGGTAGCAGTGCTGGTGGTGGCAGTGATGGTGGCATTGATAGTGGCAGTGCTGGTGGTGGCATTGATGGTGGCAGTGCTGGTGGTGGCAGTGCTGGTGGTGGCATTGATGGTGGCAGTGCTGGTGGGGGCAGTGAGGGGAAGGGGTGCCTGGGAAGCAGTTCCAGGGGTCAGGTGAGGGGAAAGGGGTCCCTGAGCCCTCCTGATCCCGCCCTGATCCCGGCGCCTCCCTTGGCTCGGGGGCAGCTCCTGTTCCAGAGCCTCCACAAAGTTGTGTTTAAAGACCCTTTTCCTTTCTTCTCCAGCCCCTCCCGGCTCTCCATAATTTCCACCTGCAGGATTTTCCAGCTGCACGCCTTGCCAGGGGCGGGAAGGGGCTGGGGGAGGTGGGGAGGGGCTGAGAGAGGCGTCTGGAAGTGATTGGGAGCGTTGGCAGCTGGGGGAGCCTCCCGAGCCGGGCACGGCGGGATGCGGGGACACGGGGGGGTTGTGAGTCCCACACCTGGAATAACCCAATCCACCCGGAGCTCAGGAGCTGCTCCTGGTTGGGAATCGTGGCTGGGAACCCCCGATCCCCCAGAGCTCGGGAGCTGCTCCTGCTTGGGAATCGTGGCTGGGAACCCCCCGATCCCCCCAGAGCTCGGGAGCTGCTCCTGCTTGGGAATCGTGGCTGGGAACCCCCCGATCCCCCCGGAGCTCGGGAGCTGCTCCTGCTTGGGAATCATGGCTGGAAACCCCCCGATCCCCCCAGAGCTCGGGAGCTGCTCCTGGTTGGGAATTGTGGCTGGGAACCCCCCGATCCCCCCAGAGCTCGGGAGCTGCTCCTGCTTGGGAATCGTGGCTGGGAACCCCGATCCCCCCAGAGCTCGGGAGCTGCTCCTGGTTGGGAATCGTGGCTGGGAACCCCCCGATCCACCCGGAGCTCGGGAGCTGCTCCTGCTTGGGAATCGTGGCTGGGAACCCCCCCCAATCCCTCTGGGAATCACGAGGGGGGCAAAGCTGTGCCCCTGGAAGTGGGGAGGGAAGGTGGATCCGGGTGGGATCGGGCTCTGCTCCCGGGGAACAGGGACAGGACAAGGGGAAACGGCCCCAGGCTGTGCCAGGGGAGGCTCAGGTGGGAGATTGGGGAAATAAATCCCTCCTGGAAGGGGCTGCCCAGCCCTGGATCCCCATCCCGGGGGGGGGGATTGGCCATCCCTGGGGAGGTGGCACTTGGGGACACGGGCAGGGCTGGGGGATGGTTGGACTCCAAGGGGGATTTTCGAGCAATTCCATGATTCTGTGAAGGGGGAGGGAAGCTGGGCTGGTGCTCCCACACCCCCCCATGTCCTGTTGACCCTCAGGGCATTCCATGTGATTCCAAGGGCTGATTCCCAGTGCAGACCCACCCCAGACACCGGATCTGCCTCTTTGCTGTGACCTAGGAGCTGGGATGTTGTCCCGGGAATCTCTGGGCTGTTGATCTTCCATCCTACTGGCCCAATCCCCCCTTTTGGTGCTTTCCCCCCTAGTCCTGGGTCTCCCAGGTTCTCAGGGAAGGCGGGAGCTGCAGCTCCTGTCCCTTGGCCTCGGGTGGCACGAGGTGGGTGGCTCTGCATCCCTGAAATCCTCAGGGGATCTGCAGCTCCAGGGGCTGCTCTGAGGGGCCATCCCGGGCTGGAGGCCAGGGCTGGGCTGGAGCAGAATTAATGCCCCTGGAGAGCCGAGTGCCAGGCTGGCAGCAGGGCTGGGCTGGAGCAGAATTAATGCCCTGGAGAGCCGAGTGCCAGGCTGGCAGCAGGGCTGGGCTGGAGCAGAATTAATGCCCTGGAGAGCCGAGTGCCAGGCTGGCAGCAGGGCTGGGCTCTCGGGAGCCGGCCCAGGGCTCGCTGCCATCCCGAGGGAGCCGTGTCCCGATCTCCTCGGCCTCCCCCCAGCCGAGGGACGTGCAGATCCCGGAGCCACCCGTGACCTCACGGAGCAAAAATGTGCTGGAAAAATCGCCGTGCACCCGGCTCGGGCCCTGCCAGGCAGCTGGGAGCAATTCCTGCCCCCGGCTCCTGCGGCCGCGGGGCCAGCCCGGAGCCCGGGAATGCTTTCCTGGGACAGCTCCCACCTGCTCCTGGCAGCTCCCTCCCGCTCCTGGGAGCTTCCATCTGCTCCTGGCGGCTCCCACCTCCTGCAGGGTGGGGAAGGGGCTACCCTGGGAGCGGGGGACACAGCCTGCCCCCTTGGCATTTCCAGATGCCGGTGGTGCCGCTGAGGGCCGTGGGATCAGGGAATTCCTGTGGGGGCACATCCCTGCCTGTCCATGGGTGCCGGGAGCCTCTTCCCTGCCCCACCCGGGCCCGGCAGTGATGAGCTGGGACAGGAATGTGCGGCTGGAAGAGGCTCCCGGGATCCGGTGGCAGCGCCTGGAGCTGCTGCCGGGCCAAGGTATGCGCGGCTCCGGCTGCCAGGGAGCTGCTGCTCCCGCTGCCTTTCCCGCTCCAGGGAGAGATCCGCAGCCTCCCCAGCCCGGGGCAGCTCCGCCTGGGATGCTCCAGCTGCTCAGGGATCCCATGGATCCTGCCAGGTGCAGGTGGAGGTGATCCCGGGATCTGTTCCCTGCCTTCCCGGATCCCGTTCCCTGCCTTCCCAGATCCCGTTCCCTGCCTTCCCAGATCCCGTTCCCTGCTCTCCCGGATCCCTGTCCCCGCCTGGCAGGGTGGGGACAGCTTGGCAGTGCCCCCGGGAGCTGGTGGAGCAGGAGTGGAGTGCTGAGTGTGTCACCACCTCACCCCGGGCTCCACGAGGCTGCTCCGGAGGGAAGTTTTCCTCCCCTGCCCCTCCGAGTTTCGCTGTGTCCGTGGAATCTCCACGGCTTTCCCTCCTTGGGGGACGCAGAGGGGACAAGGCAGGGCCTTCCCCGAGGGCCTGGGACATTGTCTGGCACCTCTGTGACTTCCCACCTTGGAGGGGCAGTGCCACCAGGCCTTGGAATGTGCCCAGCAGGGAGGGGTTTCCTGGCACATCCATCCCTGGAGCTCAGTGGATGCCCCGGTGTTCCACGGGCTCCCCTGGAGTCTCCCTGTTTTCCAGGAGGAGCTGCTGCCTGGGGGTCCTTCCCATGTGGAATCCACCGTGCCCTGTGCCACTTCCCTTCTCCCTGGACTCCTTTTCCCTCTCCATCCCTCCCCCCTCGGTGCCGCCGTCTCTCCCTGTGCCCTTCCCTGGGCATCCCGTGGGAAGCACTCCGGGTCTGGGGGGCTCGGGGCATTCCCTGGGGAGCATCCGGGGCCTGCCTGGGGGGCTCAGGGCATCCCGTGCCCCTGGGAGGGGGATGGATACCACCGTGGGGCTGGGAACATCCGGCATTCCCGGCTGGGGGGGCTCCGGCAGCTCTGAGGGGGATCCGGGAGCCGCCGGATCCGGAGCTCATCCCGCTCCTGCTCCCTCACCGGCCGCTCCAGGTGCTGGAGCTCAGCCTTTCCTGCCCTTTCACACCCTTGGGGTGCAGTTTTAGGAGCGCCTCGTTGCCCTGAGCCCGGGAAATTTGGGAGTGGTGGTGCCGGAGCGGCCCCGGGAAGTGCCGGGATGCGGCCTCTGGGCCTCTGTTTTCCCAGGAAATTCGGCACCTGCTTTTCCTGGAATCCCTGTTTTTTACCTGAGGTTTATTTTGTCAGGGGAAAAGGGAAAAGGGAAAGGGAAAAGGGGAAGGGAAGGGAAGGGAAGGGAAGGGAAGGAAAGGAAAGGAAAGGAAAGGAAAGGAAAGGAAAGGAAAGGAAAGGAAAGGAAAGGAAAGGAAAGGAAAGGAAAGGAAAGGAAAGGAAAGGAAAGGAAAGGAAAGGAAAGGCAAAGGGAAGGCAAAAGGGAAGGCAAAAGGAGGAATGTCCTTGACGAGTGTGACCCATATTAATTTTTAATTACACAAATTGCCCAGGCTCTCTGTTATCGCCTCAGTGACATGAAACACCAGTATGTATTGACTGACCCCAACAAGCGGCCCCCGGGACCCCGCGGGCAGGGATCGAGTGGCTCAAAGCCGGAAGGGGACGGGGACAGTGGGACGGCCCGGGGTGTCACCCGCGTGTTCCCGGGGTGGGAGCCCCGGAGCGGGTCCCGTGTCCCTCTGGCTCCCCAGGCAGCAAATCCAAGTGTCCCCGTGTCTCTCCAGGCAGCGGGTCCCGCGTCCCTCGTGTCCCTCCGGGCAGCAAATCCCGCGTCCCTTTGGCTCTCCGTGCCACGTGGAGTGTCCGTGCGTGTCCCAGCGCGGCCCTCAAAGTCCTGCCAGCCCCGTGTCCGTGTCCACCTCCTGTCCGTGGTCACCCTGGGGGCCGGGGAGCCCCGGGCTGGCTCCTTTCCCGGCCGCGGGAGAGGGGCGGGAGCGCTCCGGGTCGGTGCGTGTGGCTGTCCCTGTCCCTCGTCCTCCTTCCCGCGTGGCTGTCCCTGTCCCTCGTCCTCCTTCCCGCGTGGCTGTCCCCGTCCCTCGTCCTCCTTCCCGCGTGGCTGTCCCCGTCCCTCGTCCTCCTTCCCGCGTGGCTGTCCCCGTCCCTCGTCCCGCGCCGCTCCCGGACGATGTTTTAGCTCCGGATCGCCGTCTTCCTGTCGCGGTCTTTGCTCTGCGGGGAGGGAGAGGGCGGGTCAGGCAAACAGCGCCGGGGAGGGGGCGGTGTCACCTCCGGGGCGGTGTCACTGTCACCTCCCCGGGGGGGCAGCGGGAGATGTCCCCAAATCCCTGGATCCCTGCTCTGCTGAGCCCTTGGGAAGGGGGGAAGTCCCTGTCCCAGCTGGTTGCCCCCCTGTGACCTGTGGGGACCCGTGGTGTCCACCCCGGCACCGGGAGAGACGCCCATCGTTGTCACCACTGCTGCCACCAGCGCTGCCACCATCCCTGTCACCATCATTGCTACCCCCATAACACCACTGCCACCATCACTGTCACCATCCCTGCCACCACCACTGCTGCCACCAGCACTGCCACCCCCATAACACCACTGTCACCATCCCTGCCACCACCAGCACTGCCACCACCACTGCCACCATCATTGCTACCCCCATAACACCACTGCCACCACCACTGTCACATTCCTGCCACCACCACTGCCACCAGTACTACCACCATCATTGCTACCCCCATAACACCACTGCCACCACTGCCATTGTCCTCCATAACACCACTGCCACCACCACTGTCACATTCCTGCCACCACCACTGCCACCAGTACTACCACCATCATTGCTACCCCCATAACACCACTGCCACCACTGCCACCATCCCTGCCACCACCACCACTGTCACCATCCCTGCCACCAGCACTGCCACCAGCACTGTCACCATCCCTGCCACCACCACCACTGTCACCATCCCTGCCACCAGCACTGTCACCATCATTGCTACCCCCATAACACCACTGTCACCAGCACTGCCACCATCCCTGCCACCACCACTGCTGTCACCATCATTGCTACCCCCATAACACCACTGCCACCACCACTGTCACCATCCCTGCCACCACCAGCACTGTCACCAGCACTGACTGCCACCAGCACTGTCACCATCCCTGCCACCACCATCACTGTCACCATCCCTGCCACCACCAGCACTGTCACCATCATTGCTACCCCCATAACACCACTGCCACCAGCACTGTCACCATCCCTGCCACCACCAGCACTGCCACCAGCACTGTCACCATCCCTGCCACCACCATCACTGTCACCATCCCTGCCACCACCAGCACTGTCACCATCCCTGCCACCACCATCACTGTCACCATCCCTGCCACCACCAGCACTGTCACCATCATTGCTACCCCCATAACACCACTGCCACCAGCACTGTCACCATCCCTGCCACCATCACCACTGCCACCATCATTGCTACCCCCATAACACCACTGCCACCAGCACTGTCACCATCCCTGCCACCACCAGCACTGCCACCAGCACTGCCACCATCCCTGCCACCACCACCACTGCCACCAGCACTGCCACCAGCACTGCCACCATCCCTGCCACCAGCACTGCCACCATCCCTGCCACCAGCACTGCCACCAGCACTGCCACCAGCACTGTCACCACCATTGCTACCCCCATAACACCACTGCCACCAGCACTGTCACCATCCCTGCCACCATCACCACTGCCACCATCATTGCTACCCCCATAACACCAGTGCCACCAGCACTGTCACCATCCCTGCCACCATCATTGCTACCCCCATAACACCAGTGCCACCACCACTGTCACCATCCCTGCCACCACCAGCACTGCCACCATCCCTGCCACCAGTAGCACTGTCACCATCCCTGCCACCAGTACTGCCACCATCATTGCTACCCCCATAACACCACTGCCACCACCACTGTCACATTCCTGCCACCATCCCTGCCACCACCAGCACTGTCACCATCATTGCTACCCCCATAACACCAGTGCCACCAGCACTGTCACCATCCCTGCCACCACCAGCACCACCAGTAAGACCCCCAGCACCACCTCCTCCCCCACCCCTAAATCCACCAGCAGCACCACCAGCAGCGCCACTGCCAGCTCTACCACCATCACCACCACCACCACCCCACCAGTATCACCATCCCTAAACCCTCCAGCACCACCAGTACCACCATTACCACCACCAGTACCACCAGTACCACCACCAGTAGCACCAGTACCACCACCAGCACCACCGGCACCACCACCAGCACCGCCATTACCACCATCAGTAGCACCAGTACCACCACCAGCACCACCGGTACCACCACCAGCACCACCATTACCACCACCAGTAGCACCATTACCACCACCAGTAGCACCATTACCACCACCAGCACCACCAGTACCACCATTACCACCACCAGTAGCACCAGTACCACCACCAGCACCGCCAGTACCACCACCAGTACCGCCAGTACCACCACCAGCAGCACCATTACCACCACCAGTAGCACCATTACCACCACCAGCACCACCAGTACCACCATTACCACCACCAGTAGCACCATTACCACCACCAGCACCACCATTACCACCAGTACCACCACCAGCACCACCAGCAGCACCATTACCACCACCAGCACCACCATTACCACCATTACCACCACCAGCACCACCAGCAGCACTGTTACCACCACCACTAGCACCACCATCACCACCACCAGTAGCACCATCACCACCACCAGTAGCACCATTACCACCACCAGCACCACCATTACCACCACCAGCACCACCAGTAGCACCAGTACCACCACCATCAGCCCCCCTGCCCCAGCCAGGTGTTCCCAGCCAGTTCTGCTCCTCCTCCTCCCTCCCACCCCGATGGGCTCCGTGGCTGGCCCGGGTCCCTCCCCCGGCCCCGCAGCGGTGACAGTGGCAGTGCCAGCCCCTGGTGACAGTGACAGTGCCAGCCCCTGGTGACAGTGGCAGTGACAGTGCCAGCCCCTGGTGACAGTGGCAGTGCCAGCCCCTGGTGACAGTGACAGTGGCAGTGCCAGCCCCTGGTGACAGTGACAGTGGCAGTGACAGTGGCAGTGCCAGCCCCTGGTGACAGTGACAGTGGCAGTGCCAGCCCCTGGTGACAGTGGCAGTGCCAGCCCCTGGTGACAGTGACAGTGGCAGTGGCAGTGCCAGGCCCCTGGTGACAGTGACAGTGCCAGCCCCCTGGTGACAGTGGCAGTGCCAGCCCCTGGTGACAGTGGCAGTGCCAGCCCCCTGGTGACAGTGACAGTGCCAGGCCCCTGGTGACAGTGCCAGCCCCCTGGTGACAGTGGCAGTGGCAGTGGTAGCCCCTGGTGACAGTGACAGTGGCAGCCCCCTGGTGACAGTGACAGTGACAGTGGCAGTGCCAGCCCCTGGTGACAGTGACAGTGGCAGTGGCAGTGCCAGCCCCCTGGTGACAGTGGCAGCCCCCTGGTGACAGTGGCAGTGCCAGCCCCTGGTGGCAGTGACAGTGGTAGTGGCAGTGGCAGTAGCAGCCCCTGGTGACAGTGGCAGTGGCAGTGCCAGCCCCTGGTGACAGTGGCAGTGCCAGCCCCTGGTGACAGTGACAGTGGCAGCCCCTGGTGACAGTGGCAGTGACAGCCCCCTGGTGACAGTGCCAACCCCCTGGTGACAGTGGCAGTGGCAGTGCCAGCCCCCTGGTGACAGTGCTAGCCCCCTGGTGACAGTGGCAGTGCCAGCCCCTGGTGACAGTGACAGTGGTAGTGCCAGCCCCTGGTGACAGTGACAGTGACAGTGACAGTGCCAGCCCCCTGGTGACAGTGGCAGTGGCAGTGCCAGCCCCTGGTGACAGTGACAGTGGCAGTGCCAGCCCCTGGTGACAGTGGCAGTGCCAGCCCCTGGTGACAGTGACAGTGCCAGCCCCTGGTGACAGTGACAGTGGCAGCCCCCTGGTGACAGTGGCAGTGCCAGCCCCTGGTGACAGTGACAGTGCCAGCCCCTGGTGACAGTGGCAGTGACAGTGGCAGTGCCAGCCCCTGGTGACAGTGACAGTGGCAGCCCCTGGTGACAGTGGCAGTGACAGTGACAGTGCCAGCCCCCTGGTGACAGTGGCAGTGGCAGTGCCAGCCCCTGGTGACAGTGACAGTGGTAGTGCCAGCCCCTGGTGACAGTGACAGTGCCAGCCCCTGGTGACAGTGACAGTGCCAGCCCCTGGTGACAGTGGCAGTGCCAGCCCCTGGTGACAGTGACAGTGACAATGGCAGCCCCCAGGCTGTCCCCACAGCTGCCCCCTCAGCTGCACGTGCGGCCCCCGCTCTGCCTCCTCCTCCTTTGTTACTGGGGGGTGGGAGGGGGTAGGGAAGGGAGGGGGAGCTCAGCTCCGAAACGGGAAAATTAAATTTCCCAGATGTTCGAGGCCCCAGGAGCTCTTGTGCTGTCTGGAGAGGAAATGGGGATTCGGAAAATCCCGCCTCATATTTTTTCCCCTATCACCTTGCCTTTCCGCTGCCATTAAGCAGCGGCAGGAACGGTAAATTACGGGCTGTGGACGGCACATCCCGGGATTCCGGGGGGAGAGGGGGGGTGGCTGAGGCACCCCCCGGGCTCCTCCGGCCCGGGGCTCATCCCAGCCCAAATCGGGAGCTTTCCCCCAAACCTGCCCGTGGGATCGGATTCCGGAGGGGAACGCCGAGCCCTGGCTGTGCCCTGGGCTGGGGACGCTGCTCGGGATGGGGGGGACAGGGAATGTCCAGATCTGGATGGGGGGAACAGGGAATGTCCAGATCTGGGATGGGGGACAGGGAATGTCCAGATCTGGGATGGGGGACATGGATTGTCCAGCTCTGGGATGGGGGGACAGGGAATGTCCAGATCTGGGATGGGGGGACAGGGAATGTCCAGATCTGGGATGGGGGGGACAGGGGGTGTCCAGATCTGGGATGGGGGACAGGGAGTGTCCAGATCTGGGATGGGGGAAGGACGCAGAATCTCTGGGATGTGGGAAGGACACGGAATCTCTGGGATGTGGGAAGGACATGGAATCTCTGAGATGTGGGAAGGACACGGAATCTCTGGGATGTGGGAAGGACACGGAATCTCTGGGATGAGGGAAGGACACAGAATCTTTGGGATGTGGGAAGGACGTGGAGAAACCTCTGGTGCTCCCTGGCTCCGCTCCCAC